CCATTACTGGCTCCACATACGCCCCTGATGGACAAGTGTGAGTTTGCTGGCCCACGTGCACACTGGTATCTCAAAATGCATAAGACATCTCTGTTGATCCTCTTTTTTTTTTATTTTTATTTTTCTCGCTCCAGGTTTCATGAGGGTAAACCAGTACAATGCTCCCAGTATGATGCACTGGTTGAAATGGCCACCATCTGTGCTTTGTGCAATGACTCGTCTCTGGATTTCAATGAGGTTTGTAATTAAAATGTTCTGGTAAATGCAGTGTCCCAGTTTTGCTGAAATACACAATATAGTAACAGCTATTATGCAAAATACCTGTTAACACTTAGAAGGCATAGAAACTAATGTCTAGAACTATATGTTCTAGCAGATGTGACTTAATGAAGTTGCTTAAAAATAACATTTTAATACATTTGTTTTTAGAATTTTTAGAATCTAGTATTTAATAGTTTTATAGAAACCACTATAAGCCACTTGTTTAAAAAATACAATATGTATTTATTTATTTATTTACTTAAAGGGGTGGTTGATTGCGATTTCACTTTTTTAACGTTAGTTAGTGTGTAATGTTGCTGTTTGAGCATAAACGATATCTGCAAAGTTACGAAGCTGAAAGTTCAATGCAAACAGAGATATCGTCTTTTAAAATTCTGGCGGTTTAATGCCTACAAAAATGGCTGGTAGGGACTACAACGAGTTACTTCCCGGGTTCGTGACATCACAAACCCAGATAAACCCCGCCCTCAGGAAAAGGCAGCAAAGGGGGCGAGGCCATGCTGTGCTGCTTTAGAGAAGAGGAAGAGAAAACTAGGGGTGCACGTAAAAATCTATTCATATATGAATCGCGATTTTGTCTTCTAACGATTCTAATGGATTCACAAGTTTCAAAATCAATGTTCTAAAGCAGCGGTTCTTAATACTGTTCCTCGCATCGGCCTCTCTGTGTTTACAATACAACCGGAGCACATGCTGCTGAGGTGAGGGGCGGGATGTTTAGATGTGCACTAGAGGTGGTTAAGCCAATCACAACACACTAGGCTAGCTAACCAATCAGAGCCCATCGCCTATTTCTGAGGGTGGGGCTTCATAAAAACAGGAAAAGATCAGTCCTTTTCTCAGAGAAGGGACAGAGCGGTGTGGAATAAAGGTAAGTTATGTGAAAAATAATGTGTTAATGCTTCGTTTAAAAAAAAAACACATGTTAGACTGCACCCCATAAACACAGTCATGCCTAGAAAAAAGCCAGTGAACCACCCCATTAATTAATTAATTAGATATTAAATCTGTGTTGACCAATATTGTAAATTAAATTTTCTGTCAACCAGTGGTCACTATTAATTTATTAATGCTGTTAGAAAGTAATATTTAGCAAATCTCTAAAGGTCTATTTTCATGCAGTACATTGTAATCTTGTGATCACTTGATTGATTTAGATTTTAGAATTGTATTGTTCATATACATTTAAAAAATATTTTTAAAGAATCTTTTCGAATTAATAATTTAATTAAATATATGGTTTTAATGGAATTAATAATATTAATAGCAGTATATAGTGCTTGCATGTTTTGAAATGTTTCTAAAGAGTTTCTTTCTATGTCAGGCCAAAGGTGTGTATGAGAAGGTGGGTGAAGCCACAGAGACTGCCCTCACATGCCTGGTGGAGAAAATGAACGTGTTTGACACACAACTGAAGGGCCTTTCCAAAGTTGAGAGGGCAAACGCTTGCAACTCGGTAAGTCAGACATTTCCAACCGCAGATTTTGAGTTGGTTGCAACCCTAGTGGGCTATGCGGTTGTGGAAGCCCACATTTATTTCCAAAATGGTTTCTGGTGTTTAATGTAATGGCAGCTCTCATATCCGATTAATTTGTTGGGTCTCAGGTCATCAAGCAACTGATGAAGAAGGAATTCACTCTGGAGTTCTCCCGAGACAGGAAGTCCATGTCGGTCTATTGCACTCCCAACAAAGCTCGCTCCTCCATTGGCAAGATGTTTGTTAAGGTAGCATCACACTTTTCAGGAAGACTTTAGCACTCCAGTGTTTCATTTATCTGTTCCACACAGTACTGCTTTATGTTTGAAATGTGATGTGGTACAACAAAGTGCCTGCAGCTTCCTTAAACTCAATATTTCTGGGTGCAGGGTGCTCCAGAGGGAGTGATTGACAGATGCACGCACATTCGTGTAGGTGGGAATAAGGTTTCACTGACAGCAGCCATGAAAGAGAAGATCACGTCTGTGATCCGTGAGTACGGCACAGGACGTGACACACTACGCTGTCTGGCTCTGGCCACCCGCGACAACCCATTGAGTAAAGAGAGTATGGCAGTGGAGGACTCAAGCAGATTCATTGAGTATGAGGTGAGTAGGGCATTTCTGCTATAGCAAGGCTTATTTATAAGTAATTAATTAGAAATATTTATTTATTAATTGCTGTTTTTCCTTTAGACGGACCTGACCTTCGTGGGATGTGTGGGCATGCTGGATCCACCCAGAACTGAGGTGGCAGCTTCCATCAAACTTTGCCGTCAAGCAGGCATCCGAGTCATTATGATCACCGGCGACAACAAGGGTACGGCCGTTGCCATCTGCAGGCGCATTGGAATCTTTGGAGAGGATGACGATGTGTCAAGTATGGCCTACACTGGTCGAGAGTTTGACGATCTGTCTGCTGCCACCCAGCGCGAGGCAGTACTTACTGCCCGTTGCTTTGCCCGTGTCGAGCCATCTCACAAATCCAAGATTGTGGAGTACCTGCAGTCCTATGATGAGATCACTGCCATGGTAAACTAGAATCCAGTGAAATCATAACATGTACTCCTTGAATGATTTTATATGTACTTCCTTTCAAAAGTTTGGGTTTGGTAAGATTTTTGAATGTTTTTAAAAATGTTTTACATTCTCCAAAGCATTTATTTGATTAATAAAATACAGTAAATATTAGAGTTCAAAATGACTTTTCTATTTTAATGTATTTTAAAATTTAATTTATTCCTGTGATGCAAAGCTTAATTTTCAACAGCCATTACTCCAGTCTTCAGTGTCAGATGATCCTTCAGAAATCATTCTAATATGCTGCTTTGGTGCCCAAGAAACATTCTTATCAATGTTGAAAACAGTTGTGCTGCTAACAGTCATATTTTTTCAGACTTCTTTAATGAATAGAAAGTTCAAAAGGATATTTATTTGAAATAATAAAAACCTTCTAAAATTATAATTTATTAATATTTTTAACATTAATTTATAACTTAAAGCAGCACTATAACTTTTTCTGTGTTCAAAATTTGCAAAATGTATATAATGAGCGAGTACATCATGAATTCATCTTTCAAACCGAGTTTTTGTCTTATTCCGAATCACTACGGTACACTTATAATAAGTACTTATATTTGGACTATTGTAGCCTGGTTGGGTCGTCACCGCTGCGGAGTAACGCATACCTGCGTGAATCGCCATAGACATAAACTTAGAGAAGTAGCTCCGGTTGGAATGTTCTTCCGGGGGATGTGTGCAGTTCTGTTTATTAACTGCTAGAGAGCCAAAAGTTACATAGTGCTGCTTGAACATTATAAATGTCTTTACTGTGACTTGATCAATTTAATGTGTCCTTGCTATAAAAATGAATAAAAGAATTTAAAAAATAAAAAAAAACTCCAAACTTTTCAACAGTAGTGTATATTTATATAAAAATATCATTCTATATTAAATGACTATAAAGATGGAAGGATTTCTTCTAGATTGTTTGTTGTTAGAATTAGGGATGCACGATATATTGGCCACCATATCGGTATCGTCCGATAAATGCTCATTTTTTCTGTTATCGGTATCGGCCCGATAAGAGGTTCAAACAAGGCTGCTGTACTGTATGAGTTATGTTGACGTGTTTGGGATATGGCTTTTAATGGTGAGGCCTTTTTTGTAATCAGGCTCTCAAAAAGTATATAAAAATTTGGATATAGATTTATCGGCCAACATATTGGTTATCGGCTTTCAAAAATAAATAATTATCGGTATCGGCCAAAATTTTCATATCGGTGCATCCCTAGTTAGAATCATTCTCTCTCAACTGACCTGTCACTCTGTGTTCATTCCCGCAGACTGGAGATGGTGTGAATGATGCACCTGCTCTGAAAAAGTCTGAAATTGGCATTGCTATGGGGTCAGGCACAGCCGTGGCTAAGACTGCCTCTGAGATGGTCCTTGCTGACGATAACTTTGCCACCATTGTGGCTGCTGTGGAAGAGGGTCGAGCCATTTACAACAACATGAAACAATTCATCCGCTACCTCATTTCCTCAAATGTCGGCGAGGTGGTCTGGTAAGGATCTTAAAGGGATAGTTCACCCAAAAATGAAAATTTGATGTTTATCTGCTTACCCCCAGGGCATCCAAGATGTAGGTGACTTTGTTTCTTCAGTAGAACACAAACGAAGATTTTTAACTCAAACCGTTGCAGTCTGTCAGTCATATAATGGAAGTGAATGGGAATCACGGCTTTGAGAGTCAAAAAAACATACACAAACAAAACCAAATTAAACCCTGCGGCTCGTGATGATACATTGATGTGTAAAGACACGAAACGATCGGTCTGTGCAAGAAACTGAACTATATTTATATAATTTTTTACCTCTGATTCAATGTCTGAACTGTCCTGAGCACGTTCGCGTCTCTACATCTTGGATGCCCTGGGGGTAAGCAGATAAACATCAATTTTACTTGTAGATGTAATCTGATATATTTACACTATTGTTAAAAATCATGAGGTAAGATGAATGTTTTTGAAAGGAGTTTTTTATGCACCCCAAGGCTGCATTTATTTTATTTAAAATACAGTACAAACTGTAATGTTGTGAAATATTACAATATTTAATGACTGTTTCTATATTAATATATTTTTAAATGTACGTAAAATGTATGTGAATTTTCAGCAGCCATTACTCCAGTCTTCAGCCTTTCAGAAATCATTCTAATATGCAGATTTGGTGCTAAAGAACTATTTTTAATAGACAAAATAGAACATTTGAATATGAATTTTTTTTTTTTTTTTTACATTATAAATGTATTTACTGTCACTTTTGATCAATTTAATGTGCCCTTGCTGAATAAAATTAATTTCTTTAAAAAGCAAAAAAACAAACAAAAAAAGTCTTACTGATCCTAAACCTTTGAATGGTAGAGTTTTTTTGTGTTAAACAGGGTTTTCAATGAGAAGACCCTGGTTGTTACATACCAGACTGGTTATTATATAAAATGTTTGTGTTAGATTATATTCTTTGTTAAATTGTTTAATCAAGGTTTATGATTCATCCTATGCACCAGAATGGCTCAATTTAGTCTCCATCCTAAAAGTGATACTATATAAATGACAACACAGTGAAATTTATGCCTTGAGCAAACTCAAGATCGCTGCCAAGGTATTTTTGACATTCTTCCAGTTGTTATCTAATCGCATAACTCACAATATGTGTTCTCTCTGGCAGTATTTTCTTGACTGCGGCTCTGGGCTTCCCCGAGGCTCTGATTCCAGTTCAGCTTCTGTGGGTGAATCTGGTGACCGACGGTCTGCCTGCGACCGCGCTGGGGTTCAACCCACCCGACCTGGACATCATGAGCAAATCCCCTCGCAATGCCAGAGAACCCCTCATCTCTGGATGGCTCTTCTTCAGATACCTGGCCATTGGCTGTGAGTGCAGCACCTTTATTTGTTCATTTTTTTAAATTTTTTTGTTTTGTTTTCATTTTTTAAATTTACATTTTTACTTTAGTTTTTACATTTTTAAAATGTTAGTTTCCTTTTCTTTTTTTTTCTTTTTTTTTGTGGGTAAAGAAAGTGAGAATTAAAACATTGTTCTCCATGTCACCCTATAGGTTATGTGGGTGCTGGTACTGTAGGAGCTGCTGCATGGTGGTTCATTGCTGCTGAAGACGGACCCAGAATCACCATCTATCATCTGGTTAGAAACTCTCCTTAGATTTTTAACAGTCTTTCTTAAATGCATTCTAATGTTTGCATTCGCTCCTAAAAATGATTAATTTTTTTTTATCCCCACAGAGTCACTTCCTTCAGTGTGCGCCAGACAACCCCGAGTTTGAGGGCGTGAAGTGTGAAGTGTTTGAGTCTCCCTATCCCATGACCATGGCACTGTCTGTACTAGTCACCATTGAGATGTGCAATGCCCTCAACAGGTCAGTATCAGAAGTGCGCTGCAATATAGGAACTAAATTGGGGCATTTTCAGGGCATTTTCAGCCCTGAAAATGCCCCAATTAAGGCCCCATTTACATCTGCTATTAAGATCTATCCGATCACAAAGAGTGAGACAATGCTGTATACACCTGGAAGTAACTTTTGTAACAATGTGGTCAGATTTTGAAGGGAGTTTTTTTTTATTTTGTGACATTTTTTTTTTAGAGCTTTATACAATACCGATTGTGTCAAAGCAGCTTTACAGTGTTAAGTAAGGGATAATGCTCATCCAGGCGGTTATCGCAGAATAACCCCGACAGTGTGATCAGTCTTGTATAACCGGCTGGATATACATTATCCCGCTTATTACATGGCTACTTGCCACATAAGTAAATAATTAGACACGAAATATTGATTTGAGTTGAAATATTTGAACGCAAAGCTTCCGTGAACACAGCAGTTGCGAGTAAGCGGAAAGTTCAAACTAGATGGACATTTAAGGGATACGGTGCAGTCACACCACTTATTCACCACATAAATAATTATGGAGATAAAAGATTTAAGATGAAAATGTTTTAAAATCTTACCAGTTTGTTAGTTATCTTATAATCCATTACAGCGTACAAAACAATCGTAGCAAAATGGCAGCAGCTGCGTTTGTATGAAACGAGAGAGCGAGTCCGCGATACCAGGATGACGTAATTCAATAATTGTACACCATTTTGAATCGAGTTTTAATATTTTATTAGCTAAACAAACGCGAAGCTTCCACCAAGAAAAAACTGTTCTTGGCAGTATAGCGCCGACTTCAGTTACCCGGATGATCCTGCATTATCAGCTTTTACCGGTTGTTATTGAGGGATAACATACCCTCGGAATGTCGCGACTGACCAATCAGAATCAAGTATTCCACAGAGCCGTGTAATAAACTGAAAAAACGTGTGCTGATAACGCAAAAGGACAATAGAAAACCGTCAGTTTTTCAGTTAAAGTCGGTTCATCGTTGATTCAGTGATGTTATCATCCAGCTCAGTTCAGTTCTCTTCAAGTAGTGTCTGTGCAATTGACAATATTGCCAAAAATTGTGTCCCCAACTAAGCAAGCCAAAGGCGACAGTGGCAAGGAACCACAACTCCATCGGTGACAGAAATGGAGAAAAAAAAGCCTTGGGAGAAACCAGGCTCAGTCGGGTGGCCAGTTCTCCTCTGGCCAGATGAAACCAGCATGGTGTGGTTTAATTCCAGGCTGCAGTGCAAGTCAGATTGGTTCTCGTGGTCTTGTCTTGTATATCAGCTGAAATGGATTTTAATACCAGATGTTAATGGCATAAGTGGTGGATAATATAAATATGCAAACAGTCTCTTAATTTCACAATGTTATCTTGTTGTAGTGTTTCCGAGAACCAGTCTCTGCTTCGCATGCCCCCCTGGGAGAACGTGTGGCTGCTAGGAGCCATCTGCCTCTCCATGTCCCTCCACTTCCTTATCCTTTATGTGGAACCCCTGCCGGTAAGATCAATTTGAATCAATAAGATGATCAGTTTCAGTGTATTTGTTTTTTTTATTTTTTTTATTTTTTTTTGCAGTCTTTGTAGAATTCAGTCTTTTTAATTCCAATTTTTTATCTTTTTAACAGTTGTATTGAAAAAAAGTAAATGTATGTATTCGTATTGTTTTGCAATGAAACTGTTCTTAGTTTAGTAAATTGTCCATTTATTTATTTTCTCTGTATAGTAGTTAAGTTACTCTACACTGCATTTTCTCTACAGATGATCTTCCAGATCACCCCACTGAATGTGACCCAGTGGCTTATGGTGTTGAAGATTTCCCTGCCAGTCATCTTGCTGGATGAAGTGCTCAAGTTTGTGGCCAGAAACTACCTGGACAAGCCCAAAGACCTGGACGGTCCCAAGAGCATGGCCTGCTCTCTCAGCGCCTGCATGGAGGGCATTTCCTGGCCCTTCGTGGCTCTCTCACTCCCCTTGGTGCTGTGGATCTACAGCACTGACACTAACTTGGCCGAAATGTTCTGGTCTTGACTGAAATGAGCACTGATGTGTGTAGCTAGTGTGCACGTGTGTCTGTATGTATGGTTGTGCGTTTAAAGTGTGCCTCCGCTACAGAGAATGTGTACGAGAAGGACAGGATTAACACGAAAATAACCGTGATATAGAAATATAACCTTTTTTTAGCTGTCTGTTGGGGATTGAGGAGACCATACAGACCTGAAGTCTTCAAGTATTAGTGACCATTAATAATCTTTTTGGACTTCTTGTTGGTTTCTTTTTGTTATTGCATTTTTAATTAATCATGTGTGTCATGTCTCATTTCAAACTAGTATCAATTATGATAATATCCAATTTGTTTTGGCCCCAAATCATATTCAAATGGCTAAATGGAAAAAGTGCTTGTGTACCGACATTTAACACTATTTTATGCAATTGTTCATTTGTTATTATTTGTTCAATTTGCTAACAGAGAGCAGAGTGGGTAGGGTAGAAAAAAGAGAGAGAACAAGACAGAACTGTTTACTAATGTTTACCTTTTGTGTCTTCGGTGTGAACATCGCTCAGAGCCAATAGACAAGCATGGCGTTTCAAAGCAGCATGAGAAAGAGAGTGCGGGACTGAATGTTTGAATACTTCACGGTCAAATCCTCAGATGAAAGCTGCATGTTCTGTATTTTGCATGCATTTTGTGTGGTTTTTCACTTATGATTTGTACCTGTATGTCTTTCCCTGTGTCTAATAACTTCCATTTGTATGGGTATACATTGTGTTTCCATTATTACCTGACACTTTTGATTAGTAAAGCCAGTTTTTCTGCACTAGGCGGAGTACAGCTACCTCAGGACTGTCAGATTAGACTCTCTGGTTGCTTCCCCCCACTTAGCTTTACACCGCTTGTACACATTAATGCATGAGGGGTGCCTCTATTTGATGATAAACAGAACCCAGATTCCTTTGGCCCTAACAAATCTGTTTTAAGTTCTTTTTTTTCACTGTATTTTTTAATTGAATGAAGTTGCATTAACTTAATTTAGGGGTTTTTGTTTTTGGGGAGGGGTGGGTTGGATAAAAGCCGTAGATGTTACCGTTTAGTGGGTTAAGGTCAGAGACAAAGGAGTAGAAAATTTTACCAGCTAAGGTTTAGGTGTTGCATTCAAAACATGAATTTTACAATGCAAAACCAAAATGTTTCATGCTATCATTTTTTTTCTACTTAATACACTCATGAACCATTTGAATTAAAATGCGTGTCTTCATTTTACAAGCTGGTCTGTTCCTGTAATGCAGCACGGCAAGTTTTAGGAGCAAATATACTTGAATAAATGAAATTAATGTACAAAGATTTAATTACATAGCTGAGCACAAGATTGACAGCTGGGAGGGGCTTCCTTGCGAAGCGGCTTCCTGTTTGGCCCTCACCAGCCAGTCTGGTAGTGGCCTGTATATTTGTACACATGCAGCACATATACAGAAACGGTACAAAGTAATTATTATTTTTTTTTTAAATAGAGCTTTCTGGCATTTAGTTGTCCATTGCATCACACTCATTTTTGCTTGCTAAAATGGATGCATGTATCCTGACTATGCTCTTGGTGTGGAACTGTCAGTATTTTTTTCTAACAATCATAAACATTCCCTTTAAGTAAGTGTCACTGACATTGCCGCTACACATTTCTCCACTCCTTTTCACTGTGTTACAACAATGTCCCAAAGTCTCAAGTTTTTCTGACAATGGACCAACCCTGCTTACATGTAAATCTGCTAAATTCCCACTACGACTACTGTGGCTGTTTATAGCTGCATTAACACATGCCCATATCAGCTTGAATACATTACACTGTTATATTCCACTGCAATATATGTTGTTTTTAAGAAATATATAATATATTGTAAAGACTTGGTCAAATTACTTAAGTGATTGTTTTCTTTACCCCATATAATTTCAATATTGTCTCTGAATGAAATGAATACACCATTAGTTTTTATTAGAATGGTCCGTACACTGTTCTGACTTGCTCAGGAACTGAACTTGGATGTTGGCATAAATGACTCGAATGAAAACACTATTGCCATTAGAAATATGTTGCATTCTTTTCTTTTTTAGTAAATGTTGCCTTTTGTATTAACAATTAATCATACAATTATTTCCCCCATTGTCATACTTGCTTATATGCAAAATATTTATTTAATAGTGCACTTTAGCGTTTGCGTTTCATTCTAAAACAAAAATTCCTTTTTTTCTCTCATTTGTTTTTATTGGCCGTTATTGCTTCTGCCTCTGCTTGTGTTGGGAAACCTCAGGCTTCTGTGTTGTGCATGTCTGTTTTGAGTGGCTTCATTTTGCTGAATATCAGAACTTGCATGTTGAATGTATAGTTCAGAAAATAGCCACCAGTGCACTGCCAGATCCCATGTAAGAATGGACTCAATAATAAAAACTCAGTAATAATGAATAAATGACAGAGAAATAAGAGTAATAAGTGTATAATGAAGCAAGCAGCATCATCAGCATCATCTTCTACCCTGCATGACAATGTCTACATTGCCTAATGTTGATGCAAGGAGAGTTTGCTGCATTTTTTTTCTGTCAGTTGTCATAGTTTTATATACATGTATTATATAGTATAATGCATGACTTCAGTTGTAATTAGCCAAATAATTTGATCTATATTTATATAGCAACTTGCTGTGTACATTGCTGCTAAATGGTATTCAACACATCATTTTACAAATAAACTCTTTAGTTAATTTACCAATGCTGACATTCATGCTTTGTGCCTCTCTATGTATATCTGTTAGGAAAAGCCATTTAATACATTTAAATATACCTAAAATGAAGGAGTAGGATTTTCTTACTATTCAGTCTGTTACCTGAATCAGTGTCATTGGTCAGCAGAAAAACAGACTCAAATGCGGCCAGTATGTGCTTCTTGTTCTTGGCTCTAAAATCAACAATGAAGCCATGAGTTCATTAATTAAATTACCATTTAAACAATAAGTACATGTTTGTTGGAGGTATTTAAGCATAGAGATGTCCTGAGCGGTCCTTACGGCTGTAATGTCTAATATTGAACACCTGAAGGCGACAGAGACCAATTTTGGCGCTAAAACACGGTCCAATTACAATGACATCATCTTATTTCACATATAAAAACCAGTGCGTTTAATTGACAATAGCATAAATGAATGTACATTTCAGTTCAGTGCCTTTAATTAGCTACATACAAAAGTAAAGACACGAAAGGTTTTATTTCTGCAAATTATGTTATTGCACATATTGTTAGATTATGTTATCTATATCTAAAAAGAACTAAAAAAAACATTCAATATATTTTGTGAATTATTTGTTCCACAATATTGTGTGTGTTCCTTAAACGCCACATTATGTTTCAACAAAAACAGGCTGCATTTCCCCTAACACGTAGAAAAGTTTGATATTTAAACCACGCCACGCTTACTACAAGCTCCCTGACCTATGAGGTGAAGCAGCCTGTCGCTTTAAATCGAACCCATGCTGGGAGAGCTGTCAATCATGTCTCGTAATCCCGCCCCTTCCTGCAGCAGCGGCGTTTAGTGCTTTTCATACAGAGGCATTACGTACAGCAGACTCGGCAAATCTGCAAAGTCTAATTATCAGCGACAAAATGGGATAATCGTGAGCGTCTTTAGAGAATTTCGTCCACGGGAACTAAACGACCAGTCGAGGAGAGTGATTTTTTTTTCTTCCAGACACAGACGTAAGCACAAAGGGCTTTGGGGATAAAGGTGATAAAAAAGATATCACATTATGAACGCAGGACAACTGGAATACCTCGCCACAGTCACGGCCGGACCGTATGATTTGTTTATGGCGACCAGTTTAATTCGGAAAGCATTCTAAGGAGTACTTCGGTCATCCCGTGCGCTCTGGAGAACAGATGCTGTCATTGTGCTGGGGACCGAGATTTGTGCGCGTGATATTCTGCAAGTGGTCTCGTCGGAATGGTGCGCGAGATGAGACTGCGCGTGCCTTTATTGTTTCCGCGCGACATGCTCAATAACGGTCGTTCAGTCGTTGTACAACTCGAGCCCAACGACGACAATTTTGGCACAGAAAGACTGAGACTTCTAGTGACAATTCCAGGGAAATCATGAACGAAGTGTTTTGTAAACGTTTGTATTAAGTGTTATTGAAGAAATATCCTTTATTACGAACGGGCACTGCCGACTTTTCATACTTTAATCAATTTTCTTTTCCTTCAGCTAAATTCCAATTAGTTGGAGATACTTGACCGTGTGTTTCTGACCAATTTGATATTTTCAGCCTGAGCAAACACAATGGTGGAGCCTGTGGGTTTCATCGAAGCCTGGAAAGCACAGTTTCCAGAGTCTGAGCCTCCGAAGATGGAGCTGAGGTCTGTTGGAGGAATCGAACAAGAATTGGAGAAGTGCAAAGCGTCCATAAGACGCTTGGAAATGGAGGTGAACAAAGAGCGCTTTCGGATGATCTACCTTCAGACGCTGCTGGCCAAGGAGCGAAAGAGCTACGACCGGCAGAGATGGGGTTTCAGGAAGCCACCTCACCTGATCGAAGGGGACCCGCAAGCTGTTGGGGCCGATTCTCAGCATCTCCATGCACAGGAGCAGGGACAGCCAGAGCGCAGCAGGTTTCAGCCTGTGGGGGAGACCAGAGTGAAACCACGACCACCCCCTGCCAGGAAGTCGGCCTCCCACGGTGATGGATTGGAGCTACAGTCGTCATTCGAGGTGCACCAGGCAGGGCCGGTCAGTGAGACCGACGGGCTCTCGCCATCAACACAGAGGGGTGGAGTTTCTCCTTGCAGGCCCCATCCACCCCTTGACAAGGAGTTGCCCTTGGATCCGTCACCCAAAGACAAGCCGGGCATGGGGCTCGGGGTGGCTGCCTTACGTTCGAACTTTGAGAGAATCAAACGGGCCAACTCACACTCAGCCAGTGATGGAAAATCAGGCCAAGAGAAACCATTTTACACCAACGTTGAGTTCCATCATGACAGGGGCCTGGTAAAAGTCAACGACCGTGAGGTCTCGGACAAAATTAGCTCTCTTGGGAACCAAGCCATGCAGATGGAGCGCAAAAGGTCACTTCATTCACTTCCAGGCAACCTTGCTACGGTCGCAGGTGATCTACGCCCCAGACCTGTCTATAGGGGGCGCTCTACCGAAAGCACCTGCGGATATGATGCAGAGTATGAAGATGGCGAACCCAGTCCTCGCTACAGCACTGCGAGACCGAACGGTGCCAAACCACCACCTCCACCTTGGCAGCCATCAGATTTCCAGCCATACACTAGTGTTTACATTGGAGGGATGATGTCAGGAGAAAGTGGTGACAATAGGGTCACTATGAGAGACCATGGAGGAAGCGACGACCATCTTCTCACCTGGTCCAGGAGGTCATACTCGCCTGGAAGTTTCGAGGATGTGGGAGGCGGAGGAGGCGGATACACGCCAGACTGCAGCTCCAATGAGAACCTGACATCCAGTGAGGAAGACTTCTCCTCGGGACAGTCCAGTCACGTGTCGCCCAGCCCTACGACAGCCTACCGCCGCCCACTCCGAGAGAAGAGTCGCTCACCTTCTCAGAACTCCCAGAATTCTCAGCATTCGTTTGACAGCAGCAGTCCCCCTACACCGCAGACACAGAAACGACACAGGCAGCAACATGTCGTGGTGTCTGAGGCCACCATTGTGGGCGTAAGGAAAACAGGACAAATCTGGCCCCATGATGGAGACTCTATTGCCTCCAGTCGGGCTTCCCATGACAACAGTTACCATGGAGATCTAGGTAAGGCATGATTATGACTTCTACATGTTGTTCTGTTTTGCATATGACAGGTGAAGCGGTTCCTAAAAAATATCAAATGTAGCAGAAAAATGAATGGTCGTACGTAAGCAAAATTGGTCGCTACTGTAAGACTGTAAATGGGACATGACATCATTGTCAAGCTGATACACTGGGTAGCAATGTGTAGTGTGGCTGAATAATTGCAAATCAAAGCTTTTGGCCAGACACATTCTTCTTACAGTGAAAATGAGTGGGCATTTTATGTTTTTCTTCTACTCTGCATGCTTGATCAGTCAACTTTTCTGTTTTATCTCCTTTTATATTTGGTTGTTCTACCGTTAAATCCGTCCTCTGTTCAGAAGCTATTGTCCACTTTTGTTTCACGCTCTCTCTGTATCGGTCAGACACCGTTGCGACTGCTTGCTGCGGTTGGTTAGTCTGGTCTGATGAGACTC